AAAGACCCTTTTTTCTGATGAAGGGTCTAGGCCCGAAACGTCAGCCTCTCTGCTCCTATGATGCTGCTTGGCCTGCTGTGTTCATCCAGCCCTGCACCTTGTTGTCTCGGATTCTCCAGCATCTGCAGTTCCTACTATCCACGATTGTGAGGGATTGCCTCAGTTTGTGAATGTTTCCCCTAGAGGTCGCAGTTTTATTCACCAGATTGCTGTGAGGAGCCTGAATCAACCTGTTAAAGGGCACTTGCTGGAAATGAACAGCAGGTTAGCCACCATCTGCAGGGGACAAAGAAGACCGAAATGAATTTTGCTGAAGGGGCGACAAACCTACGGGCCATGAGGCAGTGGAGATGAGGAAAACGATTACTGCTTGTCACAATGATCTCGATTGCACTGTCTTAAAATATGGTAGGAACAGTTACTTTGAAAAGAAAATCTGATAAATGGTTTGCAATCGGTAAAACAAAAGGCAGAACCAAGGGCGAAGACAGGAATGGAACTAATTGAATAGTTCACAGACCACATGAACGACGATAGAGTGAATACCCTGTCGCCCGTTCCATATGATTATAACACATTTTATTTAAAACACAGCAGTTAACTATATCATAATCAATAATACAGTAAAAATTATTTAAATTCATTTCTTACGTCCCCAATATAACAAACTCACCTTTCTGGAAGTTGCTGTGACCTCTGGGTGTTAAAAAATAACTGCTTCCCTTCACCATTTCTCCGCCGACACCTTCTCCTTCCTCAGGAATTCTATTGCAAATTAACTCTTCAAGTTAAATATATTTCCATAGTATCTTTATTTCCTGAAAGCTAAGTGATTCTTGTTTACATGACAACAGTGACTACGCTTCAAAAGTACTTCATTGCCTGTCAAGCGCTCCGTGATGCCGGGTGGTCGTGAGAAAAAGCGCTACATAAAATGCAAAACTTCCCTTTTTCTGTAAAGGGGAGAATCTTCAATGTGTTACACCGATCAGGTAAGTGTGGAGAATGGATTTGTTGTCGGGAGCAGTTATTTTATCACAGTGCTCTCAGGCAGTTGTTTGTAAGCATCTGATTCCCTGCTGTTTGCCTAATCCTGCGATGAGGGAAGATTCATTGCGCCATTGCTTCAGTGAAACATTCTCATCACGAAGAAGCAGAACTCGCCTGCTTTCGCTACAAAAATGACCACATCTCTGGTGTGAATCACAGGTTTCACAGCAGACGACACATTTCCATCACTCCTCGTTGAATTCTTCTCCTTCAGTTAGCTGGGAGAGGTTAGAAGAAATTTCTTTGCACAGAGGGTTGATGGAACATAGAATGTATTTTTTTAACCACAATGAGTAGTTTAGGCAGTGGAAAATATTGTTTACATTTTTATACACTACAAGAGAATGGGTCAGTGGGATTGGTTGCGGTGAGGAAGCAGCAATGTTAAATTTATTTCATAAATCTCTTTGGCAACACAGTTGGAGAGTGGAAATGAAAATAAAAGTATATATAACAGGCATTCCTAAAATATACCCTCACTGTGAAAAAAAAATACAAGTATAACGTATAGATTTTAATTCGTTTTCTTTAATTGCCAAACTTCTTGATGGGAGAGAGCAGGCCTACAAGAATGATCTCATTTTCGCGTGGCGAGATGGACATTAAAATCACATACGCACATCGCAGTGACTCGTTTTGACGGCAGAGACAATTAGAAATTAGCCGCTTTTCAATTCAGCTTTGATCACTGCAGGTAACCCACAGGCCCCGCCTTCAGTGATAATTTTGATTGTTGTAATGTCATGAAGAAGTAATGCATTCCAGCAAGATTCATGTAATCGCATCAGGTGTTTGTAAACATATTGAAACAAAGTTTGCCAAACATTTTTAATCACGTGGACTTTTTCTTAAATATGCAATTTCTGTATTCGCCCGCCCTTTTCATCTGTTGAGGAATTGAAATAATGCGATTAAATACAAATTATTATTAACGAGATCAAATCAGACAATGTTTCGCTTCAATTGAGACTGCAAAATTTATTTCTTAAGGAGTTTAAATGTAACTTGATGTGTGTAGGGGCATCATCATCAGCGGTCCCTCTAGGATGACCCTTCCACTTTGAGGGTGAGTTGTAAGTGGCTGTACAGACCGAAGCGGCTACCACAGGCTCTGTTACACTTGGGACAGGTGATGGTCCTGGGAAGGGATGGGTGGGGCATTGATGTGGCAGCATGTTCCTTTCACTGTTTTCGCCTGGCTTTTTCCTTTTCCCAACTGCAAGCCTCCAGGTGCTCCATGCCTTCCACGATGCTCCTTCTGCACTTTGGATAGTCTTGGGCCACTGATTCCCAGGTGTCTGTCTGAATGTCGCATTTCACCAGTGAGGCCTTGAGGGTAACACTGAAGCACTTTCTCCATCCAAATGGGGCTGGCCTGCCTGTAGGGGCAATATATGGGTGCAGGTTTGCGTGCGGTTAAGGGAGAATGTGTGTTTGTGTGGCTGCCTAATCAACAGACCAGCAGCCAGTGTGAGCTGCCAGCATTTATATTTTATAAACTTTCAATTTAAGTTCAAACTGAGAAGTTTGACAAATTAATGTAAACACTGTTGACAGGAGCTTTGAAGCATCTTGATTCTTATTTTCATTAGTACTACGAAGCTTCCACTAAGAAAATATCTGAGGTTTCAATGTGTTCCTTTTTTTACCTTTTTAAATATCGAGCAGGTAATTTGCAGCATTACTTTGCTGTAGAATTTGAGTTATACCAGCAAATACCAGGATGGCACTATATAACATCACTAGTGACATCTAACATTGAGGTTTGAATAGTACACTAACAACAGACAGATCTATGTCATACACACATTAACTGCTCAGAGCCTTACTACGTCATGGAACTGCAGTATGGCAGTGTTTCATTTAGAAGTCCACTGACCTTGCTGTCTTGATTAAATGTTAGAATTTAAGAATTGAGGAGAACCAATTCTTGTACTTTAAAATAATTACTGACATCTCCAAGTCCAGATACATCACTGTAACTTGACTTGGCCATTGGAAGCCTCAGGGATTTGGTAGAACTTTGGCTTCAAAGCCTGCTTAATATTATTCTTTGCTGTGTTCACATAATTCTATAGAATGAGGCAAAATTCAGGCAGTGAGGCCTAATGGCACTACAAATAGGATTTTGCTTGCCCTGTATCTGCTGGAAACTTCCTTGCTTCCTGTATGCAAGTAGCACTAGTCCGTAGAGAATTTCATTCCCATTTGCTCCATTTACTGCTGTTTTCCAACACTGCTGTGTGCAAAGTGGCCCAGACACTGTGAAATGGTAATGAAGGTCACAAGGTCTCCCAGGAGAGGGGTAGGAGCTTGTAGAAATCTCACCCACCAAGTTAAGCTTAAGAATTTACCTGCTGAGTGGTTGGGCTTAAGTCAGCTCAAGCACCTTCAACTTCCTTCCTACCTCTTTTGGTGCATCCCTGCAAGATGGTAGTTTCTAGCCTTACCCTGGCAGGTTCCTTCTGATAATGGAAGTCATGGTGGAACATATCTTGCAGAAAATATGAATCCCAAGTCCAGAAAATGGGTTGGGATTGGAGGCAAATGAAGAGGGGTAGATTCAATTCTCTTGCATTGTGTAGACCTCCATCCCAGTAATTACTCATTGCCTACCTGCTTCCAGTCATGAAGCTGCTGAAGCGGAGTTTCATGATTAAAAAAACCCCAGAAATTGCTGGAAAAACTCAGCAGGTCTGGC